GTAGGGAATACTAACTTTTTAAACAACTTCCATGGAAAAGATTAAGAATTACAGAATACCAGTGGGAGACACTTTGAAAGAAAATTAAATACCCATTATTAATTTCACAGTGCCTAACTTAGCCCAACACAACCACTTCCCACATGTTGTTTCAGCTGACCAGACAGAACTAGAACTCTCATTATTTTTTAAATATTCTAATTATGCATCAAATACTTGTGCACGTTTCCAGGCAGCCAGACGTAAACACCTTACCTGTTCATGTCTCAGCAGTTCTATCATTTCCATAACACTGATAAAATTGTAACAACGATCTGAGTGTTCGACCATAAATGTAGGAAAAGGACGGTTCTGCCAAATCCTCCATTCAGACAAGGAAAGTTTGTGAGTTGCCTCCTCTTCATGCTTCTGCAGTTTGAAATGAAGATTGACAAGGAGATTTATTCAATAAATTGTTTAGCAAACCTAACGTTCACTTCTCTGTCAGAGACAACAGTCTGAATGCAGAGAAATATCTGAACATTATCACAAAGGTTTAAGTCTGGTCTGAAGTAAAAGAATTCGGTGCTTTGTGTTGTCACGGCTTTTCATGTTTTAAGTGGTGAAATGACACAAAAGCTCCATTTTTTTTCTCCGAATCAGAAAAGAGCTTGTAAAACTTGGGGTTTTCTTTCAATAACACTTTTACAAACAAGCAAATGAAAAAGCGTGGATACACCACCATCACGAATGCAGCATCCTACATGGAATTCTTTGAAACAGGAACAGAACTTAAGGATACAGAGACTTTTTAATGTCTTTTTAACTTACAGACCTAACCTCAAAGACCCATTTCAAACATCCAATTCCTAAATTCTTAACCTCTAAACCTACAAATAATTCTCAAAATTGCATTTTTAATATAGACCTCCTTCAAATTCACTGTTAACTTTGTTAACTTAGGGTATCCTTTAGGCCTCATGCCAAAGGAAACGTTACATCTAGGTTAAACTCACTGATGTGTCTTCCAGGTTTTCTAAGGTTTCAAAGTGAATTTGAGGCAATACCGGTTCCTTTACTCCATCACTTTCCTTAATCCTGTAAAGTCTGTCCCATATTTCAAATTCTTCAGGTGACAGAGACCAATTCTCATGAGAGTGTATTTGCTTTTGTCCTATGGGGGGAAAACAATAACAGGAAAATGTTACCTCCTTTAAGAAAAAGGATACACAGAATAAAAAGAACTTTGTACGATACCACTCAAAAGAAACAATACCTTCTCTGTGCCACGAGCAAAACCAGATATAGAGAATCTGATGTCAGAAACTAGTATCAAAACAGTGTCGTATGTATTATAGTTATGGATTATAACATATACATATATATATATTAAATTATTGTTTAGGGGGAAAGCATCATAAGAACAAAGATATATATAGACAGATACAAATAGAGATACAGGCATATCAAACACCTATACACCCTGAAGACAGTATAGCAAACAGGGAAAGCATATGGCTTGAATTTCTAAACATTTGCTTCGGAGACCTTGGGGAACAAAATGCAAATAAGTAAAAGCTTTTTTTTTTTCCTCTCTCCCCTCCCTTTTTTTTTTTTTTTTCTAAAGTTACTCTTTAAATAAAGACATGAATTTGTTATGACAAAGTATTTGTTAGCAAATTTTTGAATTTATTTCCTCTGTTAAGGACATGCAGATGAATAAGAGGACAAAAACAAAAGTGCTATGAAAATTGCTGAGGAGCAGGGAAAGCAAAAAAGAGGCTCATGAGTTTTGTTCAGACTCATAACTGCAAGTGGGAAGTATAGGGCACCTGTGAGCACCAACGCTAGATAAAAACAAAATAAGTGCTCATATGGCAGCTTACTGAGCACAAGGCCCTGGTGCTGCTTGGCTCTGAGCGAGTACATTGCAGCGATGAAGAGGAAATGAAGTCATTTTTGGCAATCTGAGAGCAAGCCTAGATACCACCGCTATCCAAAAAAAAATTCCAAATCCATCACAACAGCCATCAGTGAGAATAGCAAAGGAACATCCAAAGAGTCGGTGTTAAGAGCATATTACGAATGTAATTACTTTCAGCCCAGATGTATGAGGCTTGGAGAAAAACAATTAGTTAATTTGACAATCACTCTGCAGACAGGATTTGGGGCGAATCTGCAGCCAACACCCTATTCTGAATGAAAACCATGTCAGAGGAATCAGCCTGCACTTCTCAATAGATGGATGGTGTGACAATGGTTATTAGAGACTCAAAACCAGAACCCTGACACTTGAGTCCTAGGTTCAAGTCCTGCTCAGAAGAAGTCTTTGACAGCTGGAAAAAATGTACCAACACTGAAGTTTTTTAAGGCCATTGTTAAAAAAACCCAGAAGATCAAGATTGCTACTAAAACATTTTTGACCCAAGTCTAGAAGGACCCAGCAGAGGAAGAAAAAAGAGAGAACTGAAAGAAAATGAAGAACATTTCTCAGAAAAGCATCTCTCAACCTTTCCTGTTGTTTATAAGAACAGTTAAGTATTAGGTCTGCTCCAGCAGTTAATATCCCGCACCCACACACCAAGACAGAATAAGTCAATCCTGGATTAGCATGGACTTCTGGACAGCGTTGCCTGGACAAGGTACAAAGGCCAGAAAGAGTCCTCAGTTGTAACCAAAACCTAACGCCCTTGGTCACTCCAAACTGACTCCTCTGCCTCACCTAAGACTTGTCTTCATAACCAAGAAGCAAAGAGACGGCCTACCAAGGAACCAAGAACGCATTTTCAAACAGCAAGTTGTTAGACGGGAAACAGTGGGCACCAGAGAAAGACCTTGTAGGCCAGCATATAAGTACAACGTCGGACCTAAGGGCTAGCAAAAACAAACCAAAAATAAACCCACCTTCTATTTTCACTGTTCACAAACTCCTAATTCACTCTTAACAGAAGGAAAAAGAGCTTTCAGGGAGAGTTCTGTAGAGCACTCTGAAAGAATAGCTTGCTAAAACACAGGCAAGCTGCCCAGGGAGACAGGCACGGGTTTGCACCGACGAGGAATCCCTACAGCTGAGCACAGCACTATCAGCTCTGCACGTTATGAAGTGCTTCATTTTTACACAAAGCCACGAGTCAGACATTACTAAAATTCACTGTGTGGATGAAGAAGAGTTCCCAAAACTAAAAAGCAAACTACTTAAGAGCCAAAGAAATTTTAAAAAATACATTGACTAGATTAACAGACATAAATAATGAACAGTAGCATGGACACTAGTAAAGTTCAATGTACAGCTTTGACCACTGTGGCTAATATTAGAGCACAGGTAGGAAGCTGACATGCTGGTGGACAGATTCACTGAGGGAATATAAAATACCATGAGACACGCACATCTCATTAATATCCTACAGATAAGCTCTAGCTTTTTACAGGATTTCATAGACAGCTAAGCTGTACACTATTGAGCAACTGCGAAGTACCAGGAACTCTTACCTCTCACAGAAGAAATTTCCCCATCCTAATAAAAAAAGTGATTAGGCTGTTTGGATCCATGGTTGAGAAATACCCTGTCCTGTTGAATTTAGCAATTGGCAACGGTGTCTCCCCTTCATGTGAAGTTTGAGCACATGCTCACGTTAAGGGTAATTATCTTCAAGAACATTTTCTGAGTTACAGATGCAACATACTACCACAAACAGACCTACCCTAAAATAATTAATGTTATTTTCCATATTTTTCTCCAGAACCAAAATATTTTCCTTTCCCTTGAACTGGGAGGAGAGCAAGAAATAGCCTGGAGGGAGAGAAAGTAGATTTAGCCTGTAGCTAGCAGGGAATCTGTCAGTTCTCAGAGAAAAAACTCTGCTTAAGGACAAGAAAGAAGGAACTGGAAGCACCATGCTGAGCAGGACAGCACAGCCAGAGCCATGATACCTCAAATCTGTTGTTGTAAACTGTCCTTCTCAGTATGAAGAAAGCTGCTGGTGCAAAAGAAACTTTCACCTGTCCTCAGGTTCTGCTGGTTTACCTAAGAAATTACAGCTGCAGAATAATCTTCCTTTACTAGAAGCGTGTGAATGTGGGAGAGGGAAGTGGTCAGGGAAGAAGGACGGGTAAAGCAATGACCACAATATTGCTGCTGAGGCCACTTTGGCCAGAAAAAAAAAAAAAAAATCGATATTCACGCTCCCATACACAGCACAAGCAGCTTGTTTGGGGCAGGCATGGCTACAGAAGAAGATGCAATTGGTATTTTGGAGAAGCCATGTCACAGGCTGAAAAAGATAATTCAAAATAAGGTGTAGCCGAAATAAATTTTAAAAAACCCACCACCTTATGAGGAAAGTTTTGTGTAGCTGTCATCCTGAAAACAATGAAAGGTGTAACGCAAGAAAGGCAAAGGTAAAACACTCTTTAAAGAAATAAAATAAAATATGTATACACACAAGAAGCGGGCAGGCGACTTAACTTTCAGAAGCAAAAGGCCAGGCATTGTCTGAATCAGAGGAAGCCAGTTCTCTACTGCAAAAAGCAGGACAAGACAAAGCTGGTACAAGGCACATGGGAAGTGTTTTATTCCTTCCTACCACACGGGTATTGTCAGGACTAGAAATCCCAGTTTAAGGAGCTGCATAAACACATCCTGGTTTTTTTTTTGGTTTTTTTGGTTTTTTTTTTTTCCCCCAAAGAAAATAAACATTGAAACCAGCAGCCTTCTGCAGTATTTATATTGTTTTCCAGCAACCACTCGAGAAGGTAATGTGCGTTATTATGCATGTTTAATTCAAATAGGAGATGAACTCAGAAAATTTATCAGCGATCCAAAGGCCTTGTCACAACCATATTAAAAGGCATGGGCAACTGGAAAGGCATCAAAAAACTGCGAAGGTCTAAAGACTGGAGAAGACTTTGGTATATTTTAAAAGAAGACAGTAAAGGAAGATTGCATCATTAAGACAAAACCAGCAATTAAAGAAATAATGTGAAATTGTAAAATGAAACAGAAAACGCAGCTATAGACAACTCCAAATGGATACAATCTGAAAAGGGAGTAGAGTAATTGTGAAGAAGCAGGAAAAGAAGAAATTAACAAAATGAGATTTCATAATACAAATGCAATGCAAAAAGGGAAACAAAAGAAATTACTGATAGCTTAAAAAGACATTCAGCTACTATGAACAACAAGACATGGGAAGAGCACATTTTCATACATGTTAGCTCTTTTTTCCATGCCTATTGTGGTTTCAGACCTCTCACAGAGTGGAGAGATTGGCACAGAACTTCCCAAGAGAATAACGTTAGAGATGATTATCCAGATCTTTCAGCACTTTCAGCTTTTCAAATATCTTGTGCATTATTGTCATTTTACAACATAAAAAAAGATGAGCACAGAAGACATGAGCTGTCTCCAAAGACATCTGTTCAGAGATTTTTCCTCCAATGAGTCCAAGCCATTTTAAGCACAAAACTATTCTTTCTGAAATGCTTTTTCATTTTACTGCACTTACTGATATGATTTTAGCAAACTCTTAAATAAAAAAAGAAAAAAAAAAAAACAACAAACCACAACCAGCCAACAAGGGGGAAAAAAAAAAAAAACAGAGAGAAAAGAATCTCAAATTAGAAAAAACAATATAAGAGGACTGGTAAGTAATGGCATTTTTGCAGTAGGTTTTGAAGAAAAGCTCATACAACTGAACACAACTGAAGAACACACTGGGGTTCTGTTCACACAGATGGGGCAAGACAAGAATAATGTGTCCTTCTGGTACTGGCAAACACATAAAATTTATGAGAGAGGTTTTGCAGTGGAAGGATAGTGTAAAACTAATAGAAATTGAATCAAATTAAGAAGAACGGGAAATATTTAACTTTGACTAGAAAAGAAGGAGAATGCCTGGAAGTACTACGATACTTCTGCCTATGACACTTCAATTTCTGTGCACATGTACTCTTCCATGGACAAACCTGAAGATCAGCTGAACTTCAAGAACAAACGAAAAGTGAAAGAGCATAACAAGAATATATACAGTTTATTCATTACTGCTTTTTCTATTTGCTAATGTGGAAGGTGGCATTGAAATAAGGAGAGGAGAAAATGCAAAAATTAAAGACCTTTCCCTTCTTTTTGAGATTTATCTTTAATATCATAAAAATCAGAAACAGACAGTTCCTTCATGCAGTAGTGAAGGGGACATCAACGCATGAAGCTGGTGCTCAATAATTTGCACTCCTGAAACACTTCTTTGCAAGCTGGGCAGTCAATCATGTTCATCTTTGGCAACTAATAGACCTCCAAGTGCCCTAGGTTAGCAGCCGCCACAAGTGAAGAACATATTTCACACAAAAGGAACCTGGTAATTACAGCGTTCGAAGTGTGCAGGAAATCTTTTCAGCATAATATCTTCTTTATGCACTTACTGATTCTCATTTCTCTTTTCTAGGCCAGACCTGCAAACATTCTAAAATGATTATTTTAATTCCATGTTTTGCTCTGCTTATCTTCTTGCAAGCTGAGTCTGTTTATTCCATCCTTGGTTTCCCCGCTGGCCCCCACCGGGGTTGTGCACAAAGCCCAGATAAGCACACTTTCCAGCAGGCTCCAGAGGCACAGCGGAAAGCATCACGAGCAGGAGCACCACCAGAACCGTGCCACAGCTGTGTCTGCAGCACATGTGTACTCAGAAAGAGTCTGGGCTGAGGATGGCATGTACAGATTCGATTTATCGATACTGATCCTTTGCCATCACATTTCTACCCTGCGAAATGGGAGAGAGCATGAACTCTTTTGGAGGCCAAAGCGGAAACTGGTTATTTTTTTTCTACATGATTCCGTACCTTGCTTCCCCTTTCTGCGTTCAGCCTTTTGTTTGCCCTGGATGCTGTTTGAAAAGTGACCAGATGTAGATTTTGAGAAGAACATTTCTGATCAGAAGCATTTAAAAACCACTAACTCTAAAGTCTAACTACTCAGATACTGAAATATGAAGCTTCCCAAGTCTTTTAGGAGTTTCTTGTTTACGGCAGTTGCTATTGGCCTTTACAGAAAGCACTTAACCAAGGAGATCAAGCATGACGGTTTCCAAGTATTTACAAAACTCACCTCTTTCTTCCTATCTTATAATTTTGTTCTATTTACTGAGCATTTCAGTGCCACATAACTGCATCAGCTAAAGAGACATTTCTCTTTTTAGATTCATTTTTCTCCACGGGTGTGTACAATTCATAAATATCTTATCATTGATTTCTCCTTTTCCCCTCGTCAAAATCCTTTAGTTTTCAAGCATTTCTGTCTTATTGTCATTTACAAAGGTGTAAGAGATCCGTTTCTCATATTAATGAAAACATTAAGCCTAACTGTTAAAGCCCAAAACCAGATTTGGTCTAGAACTACCACTAAACATTTACGTGACAATTATGCCACCTGACATAGGTACACCAGAAGTCTTCAGAAGACATCATGAACATTTGCTGCTTCTGTTCACAGCTGGAGTTTCGGACCTTACCTCCATGACAAGTTCTATGGAGAAAAATGAAGCAAATATCTAATTTGAAGTATGGACATTTAAGGGTGGAACTGTGATTTAAGGATGTTACAAGAAAATGATGAGGCATCAAAGCAGCAGTCAGCACAGTATCACAGTCAAAGGGCTACAGCTGACAGAAATTACACTTTTGCCGGAGACCCGAAACTCACGTGAGCACACAGGTTGATAATGCTGTAATATAACAACATGAGATAGCAGCTTACGCAGTACTTAGAAAAACACCATAATCCTCTTACCAGTGACACAGGAAAAGAGAGCAGATCTATGCTGGAGGGAACCAGACCTTCTCTCTTTGGAAAGCGTTCTTGAATTGCTTGGTTCATATTTTTCAGCAGTAATAAACATTTTATGCAACTTTGGATTGATGCCTTCTGGAATCATACGTGGACTATGCTGGTAAAAATGAAGCATTTTGTTTCCTGAAATAGCTTTGTGGATGCTCCTTTTGTTAGACTGGCTTTGATTGTAAGTCTGTAAAGGAGAAGACAAATCATGTTCTTAGATTGTTTTTTCACACAACTTGGATCAAAAGTAAAATACCTGAGTGTCTGTGAGGTTACTCATGAATTTATGTTCCATCATCGAGATATTTTTTTTTCTTTTCTTTCCCAAACACAACTATAACAAAATAGATGCAAAGCCCTGAGAGCCAATCACATACCCCCTTCTGTGAATCTTGTCTGTTAGGCGAACACAACTGCTTGTTCACGTTCTTGCAGTATGCCTCCACATTATGGTAACCAAGGAAGAGAGAGGAAAGGAACCGAAGGACATAGATGAAAGCAACAAAGCAACAAGGTTGTGCTGAAAATCTGGTGCTAAATACATTAAAGAATAGCTACTAAATTCTTCTGGTTTTGTTTTCTTTTTTTAAGAGCTTCCATACTAAAATATCCAAGTCAAATTAAATTTGGATTATCACCATTTTGTGCCTAGGCAAAACATTCAAAGTAAAATGTAACAAAAAGCAGGGAGAACCAAAGAACAGCGATTGTTCTTTGAGTTACAAACAATACAAAATATCAAACAATGTACAGCTTTTTCACTCTGTAAAGAGATCAGAAGCAGGCACTTGAGAGAAAGAGAAACACAGCCCTTGCCTAGGGGAATTTACAATCTGCAATAGATACAGGGATGATGTAAATGAGATTACAACAGAAACAAAAAAGGAGGTCAAACAAAAAAAAAGGTCCAAATTATTTGTTAATGTCATTTATGCTCCAAGTCCTTTTAATTACACTCCATTCTTATTGTGCAAGAGGGAAACCAAAACAATGATGGAGAAACTAAGGAAAGAAAGTGGTCCCCTCTCTTAACATTTCTTGTCCTAATACTCTTCTGGGAGTCTCTGTTACAGGTCACCGCTGGAGACAGCACACCCAGCTAAGCAGACTAAGAGCTCTGAGTACGGCAGTATGGCAGCTACGTTCTTTGGAGAGACATGATCTTTGGAAACTAGCATTAGAGGAGATGGACACAAAAAGATGCTCTCCGAATAAAACTGGAAGAGGTTAACAGCTAGCTCAAACAAACTGTCCCTCAGGCGTTCCAATAAATATCTTCTAATCCCAGAACAGGTAAAAAAGTCTTTTTATGGAAAAAAGGTTGTATGACCAAACCCATTGCTTAACAGAATTGTTACTCTGCTCTTACTGAGACAGTATGTTTCCCTGTGTTTCACAGAGGGGGTCTGCTCGGCCTGACGGGAGCTGCGAGGCTGGGAGCTCCCTGGTGCCCTTCTCTTTGGACCGGTGTCAATCTGCAGCCAGCAGATCCCTGCCAGGCTGACCCACATGCAGCTGAGCTGTATCAAGATGTTAAAACACCAAACTCAAACCACAGCACAACTCAGAATATGGCCAAACTGGAAAGGCAGAAGATTCATAAGTTGGCTGAGACGCAGTGTGCTTCCACGGGGGACAGCTGAACCAGGCAGGGACGTGCCAGGGGAGGGGAGGGGAGGACCTGTAACTTTTCTGTAACAGAAATTCCTGACAAATGTCAAACTTCCAGACTTGCATTTTCCAATTTTTCCCAATAAAATTTATTCAAAAGCTTTATAATTGACTTGAAGTGGTTTGATTTTTTTTAAAAACCAAAACCTATGAATTAATATGAGACCATTAATTACTTAGCTGCAAGTTATGTGATGAAGAAGAATCTCCACCTTAACAGCTCTGGAAGGAGATTAAAAAAAAAAAAAAAAACAAACACACACCAACAAAAAAACCAACCAAACAACCAAACAACCCACAAATCAAACCAAAACAAAACCCTGAGCAAAACCAACCAAACAAAGCCAATATCGTTCAGCAATTAAATTTTAAAATTTATTTAATGATCTCAAAAAAACCTATCTATAATTACTATCCTACCTGGGATACCTGGGAGAAGGTTCTGCATCAAAGATTTCTGAGAAAATCTGAAGAACTCAGTAATCCAACTGCTTAAGTGAAAACCCCAAGGACTTTAAGGGACCATTTTAATATCCCATTACAGGGCAGAGCTTTCAGTGGTAATCACTCTTCATAAGCAGCAAGAGAAAATATCTATTTACAAATGCCATTCACTTTTATAATTTTTCACTCTCATCCTGTCAAGGCAGGTTTTTGTTCCTCAGGCAGGATTCTTTGGACCCTCATTTAGAATTAAATCCCTGTTACCTACAAATTTAAACCAGAGGCACAACATTGGTTGGAATAAATGAAATAATAGCAAGACTCTGAAATTTTAGGTTTACAATTAGCTTACACAGATCTCAGACTTGTCTATCATGAAACCTGATCAGACTCAGAACAAAACTCACAAGTAAAAAAACCATCAAAGAACAAAATCAATTTGCAGCCAGAACGGTGAGGTGCACCCTGGAAGTGCCTTGCGTTCAAACAGGGGTTGCATGATGAAACTGTAAAGATGCAGTTCCATATTACTCTGCAACCCATCTCCCCAAGGAGTGATGTCAACCGGGACTGCCTTGCCTCCTCCAACCTAACCCCTGCCCTGCCACCTTCTTCAGATCAGACCTCGAGATGGTGCGGCTGCGGGATGAAGCTGGGCAGCGTGCTGGCACAGCTGGAGATCTGTCTCCCTGGCTCACAACTCGCTGCTTCAGTTGCCACTGGTACGTTAGCTTCCCAAGGGGCAGCCTGCGCTCAGAGACGATTAATTATACTCCGAGTTGAGTGCTGAGGTTCAGGAATTTAGCAAAAGTAGATTTCCACTTAAGCTGATCTCTTCAGACCGCACACGTAAGTCTGCTACCACTAAGTACTTGCTGAAGGAGCAGTGTCGTCAGCGATTCAGAGCGAGACGCTTCCAGTCCTCCTGCTCTCGAGCTTCACCCCTATCTCTTCCACACATTGTTCTGTGCCCTTGGCAAAACCCTTGTATTTTCTGAGTGTCAGATTATCATTTACAAAATAAGTGTTATTAAGAACAAAGGCTTGACGCCCTTCACATTGAGAAAGTGCACGTATTTTTAGAATATTGGGGGTTATTACGCTTTCCTGTAGGGGTGGTTAAAATGTTGCTAGGAGGGCTCAGGATTGCTGTGATTTTTAACAGACAGTATGTACTTTCCTGGAACAGACTAAACAAGTCACTTTGCTTTCCCAGCAAGAAGGAAGCTGCACACTCACACGTTCCTCCCGCCCTTCGGCGAGGATGACGACGATCCTGCCTTGCCGCCTGCGCCCAGTTCGGCCCATCCTCTGCACAAGGCGAATGGGACTTTTCTGAGCATCAAAGCAGATGATGAGATCAACTTCTCCGATGTCCAAGCCTTCTTCCCCAACGCAGGTAGAGACCAGAGTGTTATACCCACCTTCACGAAAGCGTTTGACCACCTGAGTAAATGATTAAAATTAGATTTAACAAGAGATCCAGAAAGCCCCTTATACACACCTTGTTGTTTCTCTAGGTTCAGACAGAATTTGAAAAAAACAATTTCTATTTTAAAACTACAAACCTTAGTCTTTCTGAATTTGTCAGCTAATACCTCGTGATCAAATGACATGCGCTAATGTATCAACAGAGATATATCAACCCTTCAATTCTAAAATAAAGGATAAAAAGCACATCTTATTCTGACTCTAACCATGGCATTCTTCTAAACTTGATCCTCCCAATTTTGCAATTAAATATTTTTTTTAACTTTGCTAGATCAAAATTTAAGGATGTATCTTATTTTTTCTACTTAAAAGAAAAAAACAATCCCCTAAGCAAGTATTTGAACATTGCCCTAGATTTTCAAATATTTAAAAATTAGAAGTTTTTAATATAATGTAAATATAGAAAATATTTCTACTTATACATTCTGTTCAGTGAGTATAATTTTGAATACTCTGAAAGCAATTGAACTATGTAGGAATTTACTAATGACACTTTAAATCTCGGTCACTGCCATACAATCAGTATCAATACTCATGTAGTTATTTACACTATTAATACTCTTTATTCCTATTTCCTAAAACAAGGCTCATCTTTTCTTTACCTCAAGTTGTTCCTTTTGTGTGAAGCCTTTCGTGTTCTTTCCTGTGGAGTGCCCAACAAATGTCATTACTCTAACAACCGGACTGAGCCGGGAAAGCATTTCTGCAATTTCTTGCACGCTATCTCGAAATGACGAGAAGATCATCACTCTGGTATCCACAGCGTCCACAGATGTGCCTTCAGTCATGGTCTGATCTGTTTAATTTTAAAAAATCAGAAAAGCACTTTTACGCATGATTTTAAAATAATTACCAATGAAAAAGTAAGGACAGGCTTCTTAGCAAGGCACCTTTGACCAAAACCACACTTCTGATGTTATACCATCACAGATTTTGTCTTCTGGGTACTCAGCTTACTTAGGTGAGTTCATTTGATTCTCCTCCTCTAACTTTATTCTGAACATTATTCTATATCTATTTTTAGCATATTCTCATTACTTTAATAGCAATAACACTCAGTAGCATCTGTCCCTGTATCGTAAAAAATTTAATACTGCTGCCATTACCTCCTCGACCTTATCCAAAACACACACAGAAAATTCAAGACATTAGCAGCCCATAATCAATCTGACCAGTAATCCACATACAGAAGATTAGCTGGGAGAAGCCTATTATGCTGAGCCAACATTTCTTAAGGGCTGGCCAGAATGTTAGCTTGCTCTCACCTGAATCGCTGGTAAGTGCATCTTGCACAGCAGGGGCAATAGCCGCATGGTCAGGAAGCTCACACTTCTCCTGGTTGATCACTAGCTAGAAACGGGTCTGTTTGCACAGGCAGCTGGGCACCAGTCCCACAAGTTCTCATATGAGAGGCTCCATTTCAAAGGGCGGAAACAAGAGCTGGGGTTGCTCCTGATACAGCTAATGACTTGGGCTATTAATGCTCTCCCTTTCCGTACCAAACGTAAGGCCTTTCAAGGAAAAGGCTTTGGGGAAGTAGTTATTCATTTTAAAAATTACACAGGCACGAACACAATGAATTATGATTCAGAGTAGCTCAGTAATGCAAAATCGGAAAAAAGCAGAGTTAAGTTCAGGGGCTTTGTTTGCTTCTGGTTTGTTTTTTTTTTTTTTTCTCCCTAGAGATACTACACACTTGCATGAGTTCCTGAAACAAATGCTGAATGGATTTTACACTGCTCACATAATGATTTAGGCTTTTATTTCAGAGCCTTCTGATGGAGCAAAGATACATGCGATTCTGTTTGGAATCTCAGTAAGTACTCAAGATTTTATTAACAGACTCATAACAAATTCTTGTATGGAGGAGGGAGAAATCAGGACACGGGTGTGTACTCTATTCAGGCAGAGTACAAAACCAGAACTTAGGGTGTAGCTACTTGTGTACACGGGAATTGAGCATTTCCTTGGAAGAAACAGGTAGTAAGGGTAGAAATACAGGTTTTGAGTTATTGCTCAAAAGATATCATCAGGGATGCCGTGACACAGGGAAAAATAAGGCAAATAAACAAATTCAGAGTGTCTCACTACACAAAGATTTCAGGTTGTTAAGTTTAACTACATACATCTAGAGAACTGTGTTCAGGACACTGCTTTGCATTCCCCATGGCCTTGCCTTGCATGCTAGTTATGCGGACAGAGGAGGTTACAGGGATCAGGAGCAAGGAAGGACAGCAAGAAAACCTAACCTACCTAGCTCAAGATATGACTAGATACGGATACGCTACCATAGCTCGCCAACTATGCTACAAAAGATTATTTTTTCTTTCTGCGCGGTTACAGTAATTTTGTATTTCTAACAGTAAAGATTTACAGTTCATGTACACAGACACAAAACCCATTAACGAAACATCTGCATATTAATTACTTGTTAGTAATGTTAAGAGTCTGACAACATTGCAAGGGAAAACGTATCTGATGAACCTTGCTATCAACAGAAGATGGAAGGGTATTGAATATGAAACTTAAAGTAACTCCAGTACAGAACACCAAATCTGAAAACAGAAGACAATAGCTTAGAAAGATGCTGTTACAGGAAACGAGACAGAGGCATGGAAGGAGTCAGTGAGGACACAGGGAAGTATGGATGGAAATGGGGAAGAAAAAAAAAATTAAAAGAAAGTAATTTGATTAAATGCATTTGGACATATTATAAATTAACCAAAACAGAAATGAGGAAACTTAAAGTTGCCTACTAGAAAGTAACAGTCATTTAATGTGTATTCTGAGAATCAAGCATCTAAGATAGGAAAACAAACAAAAACCAAAAAACAAACCACAGAAGAGAAGGTCAGAAATTATCAGAACTTCACAGAGCACAAGGATCTAAAAACACAAGGAAAAAAGTGAAGAAGTTGAAAAAAAGATTAGTGTTACTGACATCATCATTCCAAAAGTAACTGGATCAAGAAGCTGAAACCTCCTGAAACCAGAGACATCTGAATGATTCAGAATACGCTGCTTCATAATCTTGTCCTACTGTATCACACATATTTTTTTCCCTTTTGGTCAAGACAAAAAAGAACAAGAGACAGGATAAGGTAACTGAAGGTTTTAAACTTCAATTCAATGCCTGAGTTTGTTATTCTTAGCAACAGGCTGGATATCAGAACAAAATTTTATCCTTTGGCTCCATAAACACATCGCATCTAACTTTGCAGGAGGTAATGGTAGCACTGCCCTGAGAGATGGTTTCCAGAAGAAATTCTGTGACTGAAAATCGTGAGACATAGAAGCACTAGGAAGGAGTTTACTATCCCTGTTTTACTAAGCTGTTGGAACAACTTCTATCAAAATAATAAGGATAACATATAGAATGTTAAGAAATGTTATGCTATAGTTCTTCTAAAGAGGACTTTTCCACACAGAAGACATACAAATATACAGAACTATAAAGAAGCACTTCAACAAAGTAGGAAATAAATCAGTAGGATATTACTTGTTTTCATCCACAGGTCCAACTGTTCGGATACTTTTTCTTTGAGTTGTTGGTACTTACCAGAATGTCCCTTTTTCCAGGATTTGAAGTGTTCTATTACAATTTCCTCCAATTTCCTTAATTTTGGATGGCTGTAGATGAATTCCTTTTTATTTTCAAACACTGAAAAGGAAATAAAGCAATTCAAGATGTAAGTAAACCTGCAACAGATATGAAGGTTTGGTGAACTTCATTTCCTCCCATTATAATTCTCTGAATCACACATACAAATTCCTGACACTAGTACTAATTGCATTCACCTAAACAAATTAGTAAACTACTTACAGAAGCACATCTGTTAAACCCAGTTTTTAAGAAAGTCTTGTTACTTTTGTTAGTCACATTATAAAAGGTATACAGTCAAACACCCATATTATAACCTTCCATTTTAAATCAAATTAAAAACTTGAAACATAAAAGACTTGTTTGAAGGTAGCTAAAACTGCTGAGAGAAGATGGATAGACAGATAGATGGATAGAGAGATGGATATGAGTCTGGGGAAGACAAACGGGAATAAAGAATACCGGCCGAGTGTAGCACAACGAATAGCTTCCTGCATCTACCAATTATGTCAAGGTATTTACTTTTTCATTTAAACAGAAAGTAAATATTCTGTCCCTAAAAGGGAAATACTGACCTGTTTTACTCTTGTAAACATTTCCATTCACTGAAGCCAGAGATGTGTCTGAAAACATGTCTCTAAGCTTCTGGTATAGCTTCATGAAGTCCTCATTACGAGCAAGTTCATTCTTCGTACGGGTTAACACTTTGTAAAAAGTTATTAAAAAGCCTTAGTATTTACTCTCTGGAGTGAATATAATGTTTGCTATAAAAAAGACAAGCCTCCTCAGAAGCAGCAAGCTCCTTTCAAGAGCTAAAAGATACATGTTAGCTTTAGAAAATGTAATAAATACTATTTGGCATCAACATTTTTTCAGGGAAGATGCCACTGTAGAATTTAAACATAGAAGCATGAATTTAAACATGAAAAACATATGTATAGACAGAAACCTGGTCCTGCAGGTAAACGAAAAAGTTTCACATCATCTATTTAGCACTAGAAAAGCCATCCAATCCAGAAACGATGAGGGTGGCAAGATACTGGAACAGGGTGCCCAGAGAACTTGTGGACAGCCCAACCCTGGAGGGGTTCAAGGCCAGGCTGGATGAGGCTTTGGGCAACCTGGGCTGGTGGGAGATGTCCCTGCCCATGGCAGGGGGTGGGACTGGGTGGGCTTTAAGGTCCCTTCCAACCCAAACTGTTCTGTGATTCTGTGATCTATTAAACGTTACCAGTTACCCAAAGAGAAGGAAACCTAGACTAAAAGCTAAAAATAATTAGTTCCTTGAATTATTTTATGTCAATGTTGAAAAGAATTTTATTCTACTCAGGCTAGAAACCAAGCTTCCCAGAACACCAGTACAGGGTCCTATTTATTAGAACTATTTTCCATCAGTCATCTTTCAACAGCAGACAGGGATTTAAGGAATCTGAGAAACTAGGAAATAGATTAAATGCTCGCTGGTGCCTAGATCTAACAACTGCTCTATACCATTAGGAATGTATAAATCTACACGTGTGGAAGTAATAAATTGTAAAAATGTCAAAAGCATAAAATTAATGAGACATGAGCACATCCATACTGTAAGAATATATTCTACAGATATTCTATAATATGAAGCAAGAACTGTACGCTTTTGGTTCAGACGTAGGACCAAGCAGTCCTATTTTAATTAAGCAGTGCTGTAGGCAAAGTAGCTTTTGTAAATTACCCCACAGTTGCACAGCTAAGTGTAAACCAAGATGAAGCAAGAAACCCGAGAGCCACACCATGAGGCAATCTGAACAACTGGAACTTTCCTCTCCCACAACCAGTGTTGAAAAGAAACTTGCAGTTGGACTGACATTGCCATGTTAAAATTTGTTCTCTCAAAAAAGATGTCAGTACAAACCAGGTCTTCCAGATAGCGGTGACAACCCAACAGGTCTAAAAATGGCTGTGGAGAGTTGCAAGAGACTCACCATAGCCAGTGACAGAATTAGGAAAATAAACTGAGTCCAGAACAGAAAATATTATTGCATCACTGTATGAACTCATGCTGTACCCACATCCGAACAGTGTGCACAGTTCTTATCATCTCATTTGAGATAATAGAAGAGGTACAGAGAAAGACAATAACAACTTTCTATTTTGCCTAGTGAGCATTGAAGCACGGCTGGGACAGAAATTGTACAGTGACATGTCTAAATCTGTAATCTTCTGGCAGAGACAGTTAAAACTCACGCATATGTGAGTTCTGCCATAGGGGGAGGAATTGCTTTATGATTTCTCGGTGTAAATTGTTTAATGGCTATCCTCTCTCTCCCCAGAGACATTACTGCCACTTACCTTGAGTTCTGTTTGTGCCTTATCTTTTTCGGAACTGCTGCCACATAAACACATTTAGTTTCCCAAATACACTCTGTCTTTAACATTGTGCTAACATATTTCCAACAGGGATGAAGGTGAACAAAATATCAATTACATTTGCAACCCATTCTTATATAGGCTGTTTTGTGCAAAACTAGCCACACAGATGAGGGAAATTACATGAGGAGTGGAGACAAAAGGAAGGACATTTCTGAAGACATTTCACCTTTTGATCCATCCATAATCCCATAAAGGTAGATAAATAATGACCGTACTCCCATCTGCAGCAGCAGCTCATAACCATGATATAAACTGATACAAAGTGCAAAATCTCCTTCAATTATGCCTTGATGGATTCCCTGTGAAAACAAAACAGATTAATCATTAAATTGGAAAGCTGACAAGCAGCAGTTTTTTTTTTGACAAGAATAAGATGGATACCTGGGAAACAGAGCCAAAGCACAAACTAACGCACAGCGAGCAGTCTGTCTATCAAAACCTGCAGGAAACAGGTTACACAGCTCTTAATGAAGACAATCTATTTCCACCTCTAAAACAATCTCCAAAATACCTGTATTATCTTCCAAGATTACCTCATCGCTTTCTGATGCGGCAACACTCAAAATCTGACAGCTGAACCATCCATTCACGATTTGGCAAAACAAATGCATGTCTACCCAGGCTACAAAATTTAAGTGTGGAAAGTTGGCTTGCTCACTGTGAAGTGTATTTCCCCATGTTCTTTTTAAGGTACACAGGGTTTGTGGATTTTTTGGTTTTGTTCTGGGTTTTTTTTGTGGGGTTTTTTTAGGGAATATTCTTTTTTAAGTCTGCAAAATTCGAACACTCCATGACAATTTACAGAAAAATAGCAGCAACGTAGTTTTGAAGGGACAGTGTAAACCTGGCAGTCAGTAATTACAATCTAAGTTCTCAAAACAATTTCAGTTTGTAAATGGAGTTCTTCATATTTTCCTTAATTTCCTATATTAGCATCAAGAAACACAGAACAAGTAGGCATATTTTATTCCAGGGATAAAAATAGAATGTTACAAAGGAAACCTAACTTAAAATATATCAGGAAACTTTGTACACTGTGGAATCTTACTATTTATTCACTACTTTATTAACATGAAATAAAGAAAGACATTTACCACATTTTGTGAAGAAGGGTTTTTTCTATATTGATCTCTTGCTAGAATTATCTGGTACTTTGTAAGGCTGGGAATATCCCGCCTTGATAAAACTCCAATTTTAATCAAGCGTCCGGCAAATGTTTCGAGCACCTGCGAACAAAACACAGAAGCATACAAAAGATGTTTTAGCCCTTTGAAGTAATTCCATTCTTACAGATCTTACACAATGGAACAGAAGCAGCTCATTCATTTTATTAGAAACATAGAATTTTTCAAAACAAACTGTACTGATTTCTGAATGATTTGGTACACACCAGATGACAGCCTGGTGCTATCACAGCATTTCTAGGCTAATTTACAATTTTTTTTTCTAAGACCAGACCAGTAGAACAATTACAGCTTGGTTCCCTATGGATTTGTGCCCTCTATCCTCCAGACAACCACCCTCCAGCCCACAAGATAACCCCATATCCATCAAATAACTGAGAAGCGGGAACACACACTGTGCTTTTGTAACCACACAAGTACCAGCCGAGCAGAGAGGAAACAAAACAGGACAGGTAGCCAGCTACTGCACTCATGCTGCAGCTCCCTCTCTTCCTGCTAACCCCAACTTCAACAGCATCTCAGTCCCAGGAAAACTTGTATTCATCCTTGAGAAGTCTAAATGACCGCAGGTGGAGGGCTAGCCAACAGGTGAGGAAGTTGTGTGTGGAAGGATGGGAGTCAGGAGATGTGAGCAGGGGGGAATAAGCGCCTGGCAGATGAGCCTGGCACCATGGCGTGTCCCATTTCCTTTGGAAACCGTGCCAAAAGACAATTTGTTTTCATCCACCACGTGTACCTGCTTTCCACATCAGTGAAAGAAAGGAACTGAAGTGCACTAATTCGTCTTAATCCTGTTTTTCCTCTTTGTTTCTCAACCTTAGGTGGTCAGGATTTTTTTCATAGACTTAGTTTTGCATGAGCACTAACTCTGTAATAATTGGGGTAATCAGATTTGTTCTACAGAAATCACTCACAATCTGTTGGCCCACTTAGCGAGCAGCACCAAAAACATCTTAGCACACAATAACAAGATTCTCCAGAGGCAGTCTTGACTCAGTTTGACAGCAGGTAGCTCCTGAGAGCTGCTTACATGCATAGAGCTTCCCAAGTTTTCCAGGCACTGTAACGCCAGTGCAGCTGAACTGCGCTGAGGCGGCTATAGCATGACAAATGCCTCATCCCTTCATTGACATTCTTTCAGCTCACCGAAAATCAACTCCTTTACCTTCTTACTCTGTGTACACTGCCTATGTGGCATGATGTGGTAAACCCTGAGAAAAGGGGTGGGAATAATTGCCGTCATCAACCACAGCAGCACTGATCCCCCAGAGAACCAAAAATACAAAGAGAACTTTGGAAGGATGAAGGAAAGCTTGTGAAAGCACCAGCCCAAATGGGGAAACAATGTGCTGGGGAAATTCCACACTGCCCACTCCGTGCCTGCAAGTCTTTCAAAAACTGCTAGCTGGAGTCAGCAGGCTAAGCAGATTATAATGGATAAAGGCTGCTGAGAAATAATAGAAACAAAGCCTAAATTCTGAATGCTCTGCTGCATCAAAGGTTGCTCCTCTTCCCTTCTCTGGGCCTTGGGATTAGGATAGCATGCCTTAGGTGGATTGTTGCTTTTGCTGAGAGGAACCCAGCTCAGCTGGTCCACTCCCAGCTGGAAGGGAAGCGGTGATGCCCCTAGAGCAGCCCAAAGGCAGGATGGTGCTGTGGGGCACTGGCTGCTCCGTGTCTCTTGGAGGAGTTGGTGTCAGACCAGCTGCACAGGCGGAATGTCCGTCTTCAGGTGAAGAGCCCCGGGGCACTTCCAAGCCCTGTGTTCAGGTTTACCTTCACCCACAGGAGCCTGGGTCAGGCCTCACACAGCTCCCCAGGCAAAGCACAGCACAGCCGAGAGACTCAGTCACGAAGCATGCCGGCTCAGTCAGACTAAGGGATTGCAGTCCTGCTCAGTCAGACTAAGGGATTAAATGCACCAAATAAACCACTAACACCACTAACAACAAGCAAACACCAACTGGAAACTATAATATTGCTAGGAATTTCCAGAGGAAAGGAAAAAAATAACGAAATTAAATGGTCTTTTCTTAAAATACAGTCGAAAACATTCGGAAGTATAAATGCATAAGAAATTAATTTCTCATATTTGGTTTAGTTTTAGGAGTTTAAAATTAAAATCTTTGTCTTTTACCAAACCATTTAATATTGTTATGTTGTTTTTGTATCTGGTCTGTATCTGACAAGTCACTTTAAAAGGACAGAGACAGAAATATCTGTGCCAGATCATAAAAAAAGGTATTAAAAAAAAAAAATTTATGACCATGCAAGGTATAATTCAGTGGTTTTTATTTTAATAGGATACCACTGAAACAGGACTTTACCCTCCCATCAAACCCTAAACAGTTGGACATGAGGACACTTGAAATGCTGAAGATCAAGCTTAGTCTGTGTCTCAAGTAGTGGAGATGGAGTTGGGCTCTGAATACAAATATGTTTCTGTAGAAAATAAATTTATGTTTTCATTAAAAAGTAATGTCCACATAAGTATAACATTTCAGCACTGGTTTAGTATTTCCTACAGTTGTTGCATAGCGGTTTTTTTTTTTTTAAATTTCCATTACATGTACTTTTATGTTTCGTCCCTTGACCTAGTTTTTAACATGTAAGAAAATTATATTGTCGCTGTTTGCTCAATGTACACCCCTGTCAGATTTAATCACCTTCTGCAAAACAAACCAAGGAAGACTATTATGAAAGACAGCAGGATCCAGTCACCTGGAGCTTCAAAACTAAGAAGGAACAGTAAACATAACCTACTTAGAAGATACAGAAACAGCACTGCTCAGAGCGATAACACTTATCTCGCCTCCATACCTTTATTTTTAATTAAAAATAAAATACTTCTGGAAAGTCTCCTCCATCTTTCCAAAACATTTAAGTGTTAGGTTACCCATTTAAAAACAGAACTGTAGAATTAATTTAAATTAATTGCTTACTAGGACTCATGGTTTTTTCTAGTTCACCAAACTGAGTTTGAAAAGCTGACAGATTTACTGCCAATATATAAAAGACAACTGGCAAAGTTATCCCATACTGCACTGAACTTGCCAAGAACATAAAGGTTTTTGCTGAATGAGGTGTCTTTGGCAGCAAACCACAGTGATTTTCTGAAGCTTGTACTTGAGATCAGCTCAGGACCTGCTGGTTGGAGCTAGGACATCAGGTGAGCACTAGCATGTGGATTGTGAGCAGAACTGGCAAGGCAAAGAGCTGCTGCGTTCCAGCTACACCTCACTAAAAACTGCTATTAACCTGTTTTCTCCTGGCACAATAAAGAACAAAGACTCTAAACAAACGAGTTTTTTACTGCAGATTTACAAGCGTTCTTTACCAAAGAAAAACAAGAGATCTCCCACACATAAATAACTGTTTGTATTGCATTTTTTTTCAGAGAACATGGGGTTTGAGAGAAGGCAGCCACTTGACAGACTGCATCTTCACCAAGCAAAGCCTGAGAAGGTCCACTGCTATTCACAGCAAAGGCAAAGCGCCAGGAAGCTCCCCACAGCTCCCAGCCTCCCCGGACAGACCTGACAGGGTTTATACAGTCACACTGCACTTAAACAGGGCTGCCATTTCCCTTCATCTCCCTCCTCTGCTCTCCCAGCTCACCCTGCTCCAGCATTTTCAATGCGCAATACACCACAGCCCCCTTCCAAACGTGCTGGGGCAGGCGCAGAGTTGGTGTGCAAGAAAGAGACTACGCTGGGTATTGGTGAGGTAACAACACACCTACAGCTGTGGGGGAACATTACAGTGCCCCGCTCCGACACGCTGCTCTGCCTTGAAACCAGGAGCAGGGACTAGCACAAGGAGCTCCAGAACACAAATCCAGGCTGTTGCTGTGGCTGCGCACCACATGGACATCACGCTGCTCCCACTCTCTGCTCCAGATTTTCAAGTTTTCAAACAAATGAAGTGAAGGAAGACAAGAAGGGGAAAGAGGAGAGAGACTTGTTCCAGGCTCTGGCCCCACCACCCATGCTAGAAAGCCAGTTCAGGTGCATTTATCACAAGCCTTCACAATAGAGTTGTGATCAGTCCTGGTGGAGAGCAAACAGATTTTGCAGGAAGGCATGAAAACAACCAGGGCCCTCCACAGCTCCAGGGAAGAGCAGCCCCAGTGAAGGTTGGATGAAGATCTAGAGCATTGATTGCTTTGTTTTAGGACTGAAACGAGAAAGGTTTGGGTTTCACAAAGTGTGCTACCTTGAGAAGTGTCAGTGCAATAATCTAATATTCCTGAAAGTAACTTCCAGGAGGAAGTCCCAAGAACAAACCATATTTAGTCTCTGCCAATTGTAACTCCAAGTTGCATGAGAGTCTTGAGACTCCATCAAAAAGCAAGCACGGGTCAGTCCCAGCCAGCTATCAGAGCACGGGCCAGTCCCACAGCCGTAGGAGCGTGTGAGCTAGGGCAACTTACAGATATCCTTTACCTGACTGTAAAGAAACTTTTCAGGCACAGACCGTACATCAAGCTTATATACAGAGAACAGTTTATCGTAACATTTGATGAGGCCTCTCAAATCACAGTATGGTACATCAAAGAAGGGAAGGAGAGCAACTATTAACAGAAAAAAAATTTGGGTTTATGGCAGAGAAGGCAACAGAGAAAGGCTTTGGGAGCTACAACTAGAGCTCAGTTTTAGTTATGCTCCCTGTAAAACTTCACAGTCGTGACAAAGACAAACTAACTCTAAACGTGAGGGAGAAAGGTGCTATTTTGTGCAAGCTTTCTACTGACACTTTCTTACCTTCCCAACAATGAAAATAAAGCAACAGGGACACAGCAGGGCACAGTGGTTTTAAGCTGGTTTTATAATTCTCCAAAACCAATACTGATCAACCTAGTAACGATCTTGGCACCTCTGTAAGTTTACTTGTCAAGTTTATGTTAACTCATTCAGACACACAGTCTTCCCTCTCTCCAGGGATCTGTTACACATTGAACATACACTGTTGTTCCCTCAAAGCTGGTATTCACCAAAAAAGATACAATACATTTATTCTCTTCTAATATCTGGATTTTCTCC